GTTCCATAAATGTTATCACAGAAAGATGTCAAAAACATATCAGTAAACAAACTAAAATTATAATTTTAAAAGTTATAGAATATGTGCTATAATCCTTTTTTAAAACACACACACACAAATTTATTTGTATATACATACATAGAAAAGAGTCTAGAAAATATACTTAACAATGTTAATATTGGACATATGTACATATAAATATTTTTTGAGGGAGAAGTAATTGAAATAGTATTATCAAGCATTATTGTACTTTATACCTTACATCTCTATATCATTTGGTTTTTTAATAGTGAATATGTATCATTTGTATACATAGAAAATAAATCCAACATAGCCTTAGTCAAAGATGTTTCTTGGAGGCCTAAAGTATAATTGAGCCAAGCTGTGGTATTTTCAGTTGCCTCATATGAATAGGGAAGATCAAAGAAAATTTCATGCATTTGAACTTTGCTGTTGACAAAAGAGCAAACAGATGTGTCTTGGAAGATGTTCAGCCCGCATGCTCCTTAGACGCAAGGATGGGAAGACTTCAGCTCATACCTTGGGCATGTTATCAGGAGACACCAGTCCCCGGAGAAGGACAGGTCTCTGGGGTCTGCGACAATAAGAACAGTTATGAGCGTGGTGCAGGATGGGGGCGTTTGTTCTGTTGTACATGGGTTGCCATGAGTCAGAACCAACTCACAACAACAAAGAATGACAACAACATTTGGAGTCTGACAAAATAGACTCTGATATACACTCACTAGAATGAAGTATTCATTTTCAGACTATAAACAACCACCCCCCATTTTGAGATATGTTTTTTAATGAATTTTTTTGTGAATTAGGTGGTGGGATTTACATTTCAGACCATCAAATTTGCATTCAACAGTTCAAATCACTCATCAACACCCCTCCTAGGTTCTGTCCCACCCCACCCTCACCCTTGATTTCTCTGTCTTAGGGACCTCCACGCTCTCTTTCACCCAAGCTAATGCCTGACAGAGCTAATCTCTGAGACAGATGTTTTTTCTTGTAGAAGCATGAAGTAATTAGGGATGTCAAGCTACTTGTCAACCCTATCAACTAACACTACTGAAACAGACGGAAATACATTATATGTACTTAAATTTCATGCAGAAAGGCCCATGTAACTGTATATATTCAAAAGCTTCCTCCTAAGTAATGAATGCAAGGATAGTTGACAAATCTTGGAGTAGATTTTCAACATGAAATACATATTTTAATATTGACAGGGAACTTTAGAAAATCCTAGGTGCTTCACATAAAGAAAAACTTCTGCACAAATGACATGCTAGACTGTTTCTACTATTTGCTGTTTATTCTGAGCTGACTTTAAAAGTCAACTAGCCAGCATACCTCAGAAAGCCTGCAGGGTCCCCACTTCCTTCTTCTTCCCACAGCATGCTCCTAGAAAAAACATTCATCAGAGTGGCCCCAAAATATCCATGGACTAACAAGACTTTGACTCATATTTTCTAATTTTAAGAAAATGATTGAACATAAAAAAATGTTTAATCCGCAATGATTTAAACAAACAGATGAAAGAGTTGTTAGCATTTTCAAGCCATGTATACTTGAGAACAGGAGATCTGGTGGTGTAGTGGTTATGCATTGGGCTGCCATCCACATCAAAACCACCAGCCACTCTGCAAGAAAAAAAAAAAAGGGCCGTTCTACCTTGTCCTATGGGGTCACTATGATTCAGCATGGACTTGATAGCAGTGAGTTTGGTTTTTGGTTTGATATACCTGAGACATCTACCTATAGTCCCATATAGACAGTGCCTATATACAGTATATAAGAATCCCTAAGGAGTCCTGATGGCCCTGCTAACTTACAAGTTCAAATGCACCAGCTGCTCCAGTGGAGAAAGATATAACAGCCTGCCTCCTAAAAACTAGAGGTTTTGAAACTGTAAGGGGCAGTTTTACCCTGCCCTGTGGGGTCACTGATGACCCTGGTGGCTACTGGACTTCCAGCTGAGCTACAAACTCAAGATCAGCTGCAGTTTGAACCCACCAACTGCAGCTTGGAGAACGTTGAGGCTTTGTGCTCCTGTAAAGATCCACAGTCTTGGAAACCCACTGGGGCAGTTCTACTCGGTCCTGCAGTGTCATCATGAGTCTGTGTTCTGCGTTAGCATGGGACTGGTTAACTGCAAGGTTGGAGGTTCAACCACATCAGCTTCTCCGCGGAAGAAAGATGGTCTGTTCCCATAAAGAGTACTATGAGATACTGTGAGTTGGAATCAGTTCAATGGCGGTGAGTTTGTTTTTGCTTTTTAATAGGGGCCCTTTGAGTCTGAATGGATGGCACGCACCCTGTAAGCGCGGTACTACAAAGGGCTGGCAGTGGAACCCAGCTAGGGGTGCCTCAGAAGACAGACGTTGGAAACTATGGAGTAGGCCTATTCTGTACACGGGGAAGCCATCTGATGGCTCCCATCAGCAACATACACAGGGTATTCCCAACAGCTGGTCAGAGCTAAGTCAAGTTCCTCCTCTTTGCCCACTTTTCAATTCAGTGCAGATCTCCTACAATTCCTTTTTGAAATGAGTTTCACATAAATATACAGCTTTCATAATATTAGCTCTTTCATTGGACTTTCTAAGAATGAGCTGCTCTGATAGTGTATGCCAATCATGTTTCCTATTCTCACCTGGTGGTGCTGTAGGTCAGGCTTTGGACTGCAAATAGCAATGTCCCACGGTTGAAACCCACCAGTGGGAGATTGTCTGGTCCCATAAAGATTTACAATCGTGGGAACGCTACAGGATCCATGAGTCAAAACAGGAGCTCTGGTGGCATAGTGGGTTATGAGGTGGGCTACTAACACAAGGGCACCAGTTCAAAACAACCATCCACTCCTCCGGAGAAAGATGAGGCTTTCTACTACCTTAGAGAGTTAGTCTGGGAAACCCACAGGGGCAACTCTACTCTGTAGTATAGGTTGCCTATGGGCCAGAATCAAGTCGATTGATGCCAGTGGGTTTAGTCTGACCCTCCCGGCAGCCTGACAAGGTCCAGCGCCCTTTTCAAGCTCCCCTGGTGCTGGCTTTTCCCGTTCTGCTCGTCCACCAGTTACTCTGGAATGACGATCGGGCATTCAGCACAGTGAGATGCTTTGGCACTTCCTTAATAACGGGGATTCTGTTCACTGACCCACTTTACGCGTAAAGCCTTTAACAAAATGCCTGGCGCAGAGGAGGCGCCCAGTCACTTTTATGATAATTAATGCAAAACTTCTTGATGCATAATTCGATGCCCACGTCCAGGAGACACGTTTAGGTGTCATGCTTTTGCAAATAGTAAAAGTATTACAATGTTATTTGGCTCCTGGAGGAAAAGAGCTAACACGGCGGGCAAAAGATCGTTTAGATTTTATATACGGGCTGTTGATCATAGGTTGGTCAATAAACTGAGCGAGAGAGGAAAAAGGACTCGTTCTTTGCAGTACGCATTCCGACAGCAGGACAATGGGCGCTAGAAGTGATGGACGGCAGCAGAGACGAAATTACGCAAAAACCCGCGGACAACTTGGCCGCCGGCCGCCGAGGCCGGGCCGGCTCCTGTCGCACCGTCGCCGGTCGTGCGCGTCATCACCGAGCGCGGGGTCAACTGACGAACTTGAGGGCGGAGCGTTCGCTCGTGTCCATATAAGGACCCTTCCCATGATCCTCTCCTCCTCTTCGCCGTCTTCCCCGGCCCTGTGCTGCCGCAGCCATGAAGTAAGTAGGAAGCGTTGCCCCCATCCGCGCCCATCCTCGGCCCAGAGCGCTGCCCGGGGGGCCGCGGCCCGCCGGGACCCCCTCCCCAAGGGCCTGCACCTTTCGTTACAGGGTCGAGCTGTGCAGCTTCAGCGGGTACAAGATTTACCCCGGGCACGGGCGGCGCTACGCCAGGACCGATGGCAAGGTACGCCCGGCAGCTCCAGCCAGTGGGGCTCCCGAGTTAGAAGGCAGATGCAATTCGGCCCCGGCGGGTTATCCGCCCCGTCTTCCTCGGTGCCCGACACGGTTAGTTGAGAGGCCCAGAACTGAGCCGGTGTCTTTAGCGCCGGCCTTAGGGCGTGCCAGGCTCCCGCGCCAGGTTCCGAGCCCCGAGCCCCCTCTGAGTCCCGGAGAGGACGGGGCTGGACGCCGCCCAGAACGTGGCATCCCGCCCTCGCGTCCCGAGCGCAGGCCTGGGAGCCCGGGGGCGGGGCTTCCCAGGTGCTGCCCAGGGGACCCGCCAGCTGTGCCCTCGCGCCTTTCCGCCTCTGGCCTCCGGCGTAGTGTCGCAAGGATTTCCAGCCCAGGCTCTCTGTGGCGATGAGGGTCTCATTACTTTGAACTTGACAGGTTTTCCAGTTCCTTAACGCAAAATGCGAGTCGGCATTCCTCTCCAAGAGGAACCCTCGGCAGATCAACTGGACGGTGCTCTACAGGAGGAAGCACAAGAAGGGGCAGTCGGTAAGTGAGGCGTGCTTGGATGGTGTGCTGCTCGCGTCCGAGTGTATCTTCTTGGGGCGCTCACACTCCCAGTAAACGACAAGCTCGCGTTTTTTGGTGTTTTTTTTTTAATTCTTTTGACAAGTTGAAGTTTTGTGAATAACCTTAAACCTGGTTAGATTATGATGCGGCCTGGAAAGATGTAAGGTGCTCCAGTGTCTAGAAAGTTCGCTGTTACTGTGGTCATTTGATTTTGGCAGTACTTGCTATATTTATTTTTACTTGCTATATTTTAATAGACATAAGTTGAGTTTTGTTTGTTGTTGGAGAGTAGCGTCCTTTTAGCTAGCTGAAGCTATTTGTGAGAAAAAATATGGACTGCCAAAGCAGTAGGATTAGTATCTTGGAGCTGAGGGAGTGCAAGGCATTAGTAGTGACTGTGGAGGATAAATGTCATTAGATATCAAGCAGGCTTCAAATGAAATGAGCGTTTGTTTTAGTTGGCTACGACCATGTGAGCATGGTGCAGCGTGTTGCAAGCTCTGTGCGGTGGAGCTGACTCAACAGTACCTAACAACCAAGACGTGTTTATGCGCTTAAATGATTATCCAAATCAATTTTCTTGGGCTAAAAGGTGAGCTGCAAGATCCAACTGCTCATAAGCACTGTAGTGTATTGTATGTAGGTTTCAAATACAGAATCTGCGGTTGGTATTTCAATGGAGTTCTCCGGAAGCTCTTCACTACCTAACCAATTTCCATCCATCCTTTTCTTGTGTATTTCTCTCAGTGGCATCCTCTGGATGCTGAAACAAAATAGATATGCTTTAATGTGATTTCCATAATCCATCTTAGGGTACTTTTCGATTAATTGAAAGAAAAATTTAAAAAATCATCTTAGTAACTTTTAACATGGTTCTTTTAATAAATTGGTATGAGTGGCCCAGTGTCATAGACGATTTACTTGATCTATTAATGGGAAAATTGCTTCCATGTCCTCCAAATTCTTGAGGGCAAAACTCATGTGTGTACCCTATTTTCTTGATCTGTAGGAAGAAATTCAAAAGAAAAGAACCCGCCGTGCAGTCAAATTCCAGAGGGCCATCACTGGTGCATCTCTTGCTGATATAATGGCCAAGAGGAATCAGAAACCTGAGGTTAGAAAGGCCCAACGAGAGCAGGCCATCAGG